TCCGAAAATTTGACCTTTGACCGGTCATAAGTAGGTCAAATGTTGACCTAGGACCAAAAAATATACCACCAATCGCGAGATCTCGTTGAGAGCAATCCGTTGTTTTTTCCGCTAAGCTCTACGACCTTCCGTTTCGAAACGCCAGGGGGGGTCGTAACAACCCCCCCCCCTGGTCGTTCGTGTTATGAGAAATGGCCTGGTCGTGCGAGGGTTAACTGAATGTAGTCTGATCAAATTCAATAAAGCAAAGACATCCAGCCAACAGAACATCGTAAGAATGCCGATATGGTTGATAACATTCAGAGTTTTGGGGAGCAGCCATCGACCAGAATGAACCTTATTGGCTTTTGTATGTAACATTTGCATTGCTTTTGGAAAGTTTCAGTCAGATATCTTCAGAAATGGCAATGTTATCGGCTTTTGCATTTTACCGTAGTCGGTTAATCACAATTTTCGATATTGCAAAGGCAATTTCAGTATCAGTACGTTCTTGACATCGAAAACCAAAACGAAGAGCATCATCGTGTTCCCAGAGCTCAAATTGCATCCGATGCAATCTTTTTTGTTGAGAATGTTCAACTTCAAAATTTGACCTTTTTGACCTCGCCGTGACCTGACCTTTATTTGTCGAATGGAAATAGTTTCGAATCGGACGACCCAGATGACATCATTTTTCGATGCTTTTGCCGAAATGGACCATTAAAGATGTGTTGCATGACCTAAAAATGTATACACTTCCTTCCATGACCTTTTCCATGACCTTTTGTGACCCATGACCTTTCCATGAGCTTTTGTGACAAAGTTAGGTTTCGTTTGTCAGCTATTCCTACCAGAAGCCGTTTGAGCTTTTAGTATTGAACGAGTAGTTTCGAAGACAGCAGGGAAGCTATGCAGAATCCCCTCCCGAGTCACCCACGTTATGGGATATACCCGTCATCCGCGGATTACAAGCAAAAATATTTTTACGGCGATGATGTATCAGCATGGATGCTCATACGTTCCCATATGTGACCTTACGGTTGACTTCACATACAATAAAAATTCCTTGGCAAAATGTCAACTGGTTAACGAATTATCGCATTTTGGCCACTTCCGGACTCAAATAGCGGCTGTGTGCAGCGGCGCGACGGTCGGCGTGCCTGGAAGGTATGCTGTTCCGCCCGGTGCGCTGCCAAGCGCCTGGAACGTAGGCTATACCGCAAGGCTCACTGCCAAGCGCCTGGGAGGCCCATGCTATTCCGCCCGGCTCATTGTCCAAGCGCCTGGGAAGTATGCTGTGCCGCCTGGCTTACTGCCCAAGCGCCTGGGAGTTATGCTGTACCGCCTGGCTCACTGCCGGCCCTCAGCCCTGCGGCGATAAGGGCGGGGATCGGCCGAGCTAAGTTGACTTGACAGTGGAGTCGTACTTGAGTGAAACCATGATCGGACTGGGGATTGAAAACAAATTAAATATAGGGGAGACCCGGGAGGTATGGGCCGGTTTTGTGAAAAGGCAATTTTCTTTCAGTGGGCAGTGGCTAGACCCGGTTTTTCACTCTGTGTACGTGAAATTGCCTTTCGCCTGCAATGTGTGCCTGATATTAGGCATCTGGGGTCAACCATTTTGTCTCGAGATAACTTTCAATAAATCATGTGCTTTTTGATCCATCAAAATACACCGGGAGGTATGGGCCATGGCCCGGGAGGTATGGGCCGGTGCCATGTTTCACATTCTATTCTCGACAATGAGAATAATACTCGTAGCTGGTATCTACCTTGATCTCTCTTAGAGCCCAGGAACCGCATAAGCGGCCAACAGCTTACTTCATGGAGGTCACTTGGGCCCATATGTATTTTGTTATTACCACATGCCGAGATATCCCTTTAACATTAGCACGTGCATTTGGGAAATGGCTTCGGCCCGCCTCGGCTAATGTTGAAGGTATTTGGGAAACGATTCGGCCCTAAGGCTTTTTGATTTTCCCAGACAAAGTTTTACTGAATATTCTGAGCGGAAGAACCAATTTCAAAGAAGATATTTACGGATTGTGTGTTCACTAACAGCAACAGCAAAAGTAAGTGACTGCGTGTTTACATGCTTTTGCTGTCAACGTAATTCAACTAAACAAGGTTATCGTTCCAATGCCAATGTATTTATTGCTGCAGAACATGGTCGGAATAATCATTATTTCTACATAATGCACACAAAAAACGAACAATTTAAATGCGTAAAGCATCTTAACGTGCCACAATGAAACATTTGATATTGTTCCAGCAGGGATCCAAGACGCGTTTGATTCAGCGTTTCACCCAATTTTTAATTTTCCTCACGGTTTCCTCACTCCTGCTGGACTCCATATCTTTATTCTAACTTCTGGCGTTTCACCATCTTCATCCTCAGCTTTTTCAAACCCTAAATAAGGGGGAAGTAGGAATTTCTCATCTTTCATACTCAACGCAGCCTAATAATGAAAAACACAAACAAATAATCACGGTGACTATAAATATGAGCATAGTATCAATATGATATTGACACAATATTAAGATTAAAGTGTAAAATATCAAATGAATATGATATTAACTGTTGCGCCGGTACGGCATGTGGTAAATCTCTTCCCAACCTTGGGCTGTGAAAATGCAGTTTTATTCACCTCGGTTTTTTGCTACGGACCTCGTGCCTACCGGCACTCGGTCCTCCGCACAAAAACCTCGGTGAATAAAACGCATTTTCCCAGGGGCCCGGGAACGATTTTCAAGTTGGGGGGGGGGGCGAGCCTAAAATGCCTGACATGATGCATATGAAGCAGTGGCGTAGTTAGGGGTATAAGGGGACACGTACCCCCCCCCCCCCCACCCCCCACCCATCGGGTTGAAAGGGACCCTCGGGTCCGAGAGGACCTGCGGTGCCATTTGACCGCTGAGGATTAACGATGACCATATTTCGACTCAGAATGGCCTCATAGGTCTCGTTAGTGCACCTTATGGGCCCTAAATAACCACACTAAAATCTCAACAAGGGCCCCACGCCGGCTTCTGAGGGAATCTTGCAGATTTTAAGGGCCCCTCGGTGGTCTCCAAAGGCCCGTTACTGGCCTCTGAGAGTTCTTACCGGCCTATGAGGGGCCAGTTCTAGGGGCATTTCCCGCCTGTGATGGTCACACACTTATTTTTTCGAGGGTCCCATAACGGCAACTGAGGGGGCCCTCATCGGCGCCTATGAGGGCCCACACCGGTGTCTCTGAGCATTTCACACCCCCCAACTCTGAGTGCCTATACCAGTGCTAAAGCCCTATATCGGCGGCTCTGAGGACCCAACAGTCAACACCTGCGCATCTAAAGGCCACCCACTGGAAACTTTGGAGGGCCCCACACCGGTGACTCTGAGCCCTGAGGGCCCCACCGGCGTCTGACAGTACCAAGCCGGTCTCTAAGGACCCCACAAGACTTCTTCTGCCGGCCTAAGGGCCCCGTGCCGGTCACTGGTTGGTTTGTAGTTCCTTTTGGGTTTCCCCTGTTGGTTTGTATAGGGTTCGCGTCCGCAGCTCTAAAGACCCCACACCCGTCTGTAACGGCTCCACACCAGCGTCTATGAGATCCCAGAGCAACGCCTGTAAGGACCCTCACCGGCGCCTCTGAGAGAATCACACTAGCACCTCTGTGCGCCCGAACCGGCACCTGCATCGCGGCCCATACCAATGCCTCTAAAGGCCCCTTACCGGCGGCTCTGAGGGCCCTATACGCCGCTGATTCTGAGGGTGCTACCGATAACCAAATGCATCAGACAAGCCCTTAGTGTCGCTGAGCTTTAATCCCATAGATACCGGCCTTCCGAGGGCGCCACGTCAGTGCACTCATTGCCCCACACCCCTCCCTCACACCCGGAGCGGGTAAACTGTGTTATACCTATATTATAGCAACGATTTTACCACCGTTGTACGTTATATATTTCTCAAAGTTTTCTCAAAATGGTCTAGTATAAAATCTGGCCTGCCAAACTCATGGCCAAGGCCAGGCCCAAACCAAAGCGGGATGACAATAGCAGATGTTGTGAAATCGATACTGTATCAGCAGAAACCATTCAGATGGCTAGGAAAATGCCGTGTGATGATGTTTAGATGGAAAACAAGAAGGAAAGAAGTCCGGAAAAGGGAAGAAAGATCCTTTCACGCTGCCTCAATGTTGAGGGGGCGCCGCCCCCTCGGCTCTCAAGTTGGGGGGGCAAGCGCCCCCGCTGCCCCCCCTGTTCCCGGGTCTATGCATTTTCCCAGCCCCGGTCGGGAATATATAAACTCAATCATGCACCATGAAATAAGATAAATAATATTTTCTGTTCGAATGAAAATTTGAAGTTAACTTTTCGACCTTGGGCGACAAAAATAAAACTTATTGACGGGGACATTCAATGAAAGCATCTTTTTATTTATTTAGGATCAACGGGGTGGGTGGCCCGAACCTCCCGGTTAGGACGCCAGAATGTGCGTAGCATCTCAGCTCATAATCTTGCAAGAAAGCTTCAAATTGTCTATCCAGTCTTAATTTTCATGCTTTAAAATTTATGTTAGCGATGGCCTCACATCATAAAACGAGCCTGGTTCAAATTTATCACGAATTTTCTGTATGTACCGTATTTTACTCGAAGAGGGCAAAAACGCTTTATCACAGCTCATTGCCAAAGAAGACTGAGAGGAAGATTTTGAATATCACGTGGGTTGTATAACGGAATGGCTGCTTCCAGTTTACGCCGTCAAATGTGTAAAAATACGTAACACTTCTTCAAAACTGCGATGGCCCATACCTCCAGGGGGCCCATACCTCCCGGGTCTCCCCTATACTAAAAGATGAGTTTTGCCCATTGGTAGAGCTGACTAAAATCGATTGTGCGCTTTAAAACAAAACTATAAGGCTTCTCTCGAACGCCCCAACCAATTTACCAACCATATAACTGGTAGTATTAACCAAAACGTGCATTTCTGTAATGGAACAGTTTTGATCCACAAGTGGTAGCCAGTACTGCCACTCACCCGCTCCTGCTGTGGTTCATCAATAGCTGAACACATCTGATCCTCGGGCATCTTCAGAAGCTCTGTGGCTAGCATTATGATTCCATAGTAGCAAAACGTGACCATCATCCTGCCAAAGGGAAATGCCGGTCAAACCATGTCAGATAAGTGGTTAAAAAGCTTATCTGTAAAAACAGGTCCTCGATCAAGTTAAATGTATGTAGATTACAGAATGATGTTTTTTTTTTACAAATCCCGCACCACCTACCATAGTGTCCATAGGAGGACGCTGGTGCGGCGATTCTGACGCGATAGCAGGTCGGGGAAGTGGCCGCGACTCTCGTCATTTGCGCTGCTGGTCTCGAGGTGGCCCGGAGGCAGCGCTCGTCCGTTCTTGGCCGCCAGCAGGTCCATGGTGGCCTGGGCGAGCTCGGGCCGGCCGCACGCGGCGTGGTACCGGGGACTCTCCACCAGCAGCTGGAGGTACAGGTCCGTACTCTTACACGCCGACAGGTCGACCGTGTCTTCACATGATTCAGAGCATAAGCATTCAACGCATTATTTATATCCCCATATTAGACCTCTCAGAAATCTAGCTAATAGAACTAATAGAACCCTTTTCCAGTATATAACGCGCGTTGAGCGCTGCCTTGTGCGGTCGCACACTAAGGCGTTGCACGCGGACACCGCTTACCGGCGACAGAAGGGCGAACAGCACCAGTGGGATGCTGGAGGTGGCCAGCAGCCAGCGCCAGCCGAGAGTGGGCACCACGACCATCGCGAGCAGTACCTCCAGGATGGCGCCGCTGGTCCAGAAGAGCTGCAGCAGAGTCAGTCTGCAGGGTCACCGCTCCGCTGTAGGGCTACATCTGCGAGTGATGTTGAATTTAAAATTGCTTAACAGCCCTGATGCAAATTTTTAACCACGCTAAGGTCTAAGGACAAGATAGCTGTTGCTTTTGCTGAAGAACAAGCAAATCTGCCAAAGAAACCGCGGAAAGAACAGACCATTGCAATGGATAAATCGAAATAAATGCCACCATTGGTGAAAAACAGAGAAGCTGGATCACTTTGATAAATGGAAGCTTACATCCTCACAATATTAGTAATGATTTATTCATGAAGTGTTTGCTGCAATGAAAAATGGACTTACCTGAATAATGATCAGACTTTTTCCTCGCTGATTTGTTGGGAGAAACTCGGTGAACAATGTAACCCTAAAAAATACGGCGACATCAGAAATCAGCTCTTCCAGTTGAAATGAGCATTGAGCATCACACAGATTAGTCAGATGGTAAACTTCAAGTTTAGCGATTACGTTCGATTAAATGAAATATACCACTTATCATCCTCAAATAATTATTTTTTTGCTACAGCTTTGTGATTTTTTAATGATCAGAAAGGAAATAATGAATATTAAAAAAAGATTTTTAAGTATTCTCATGCAGAAAGAACTATCACCCATCTCTGGTAGCGGCCAAGTAATATCTGCAGCGGAAGCTTATTATGCGTTCGCCAATCATACTGCTAGTTCAACACCAACTGCATGCTAATTAGCTGATGAATGGCCTGTGCCAGAGGTGACTGCATTTGTTGCATTCTTCCGTAGGGCACCGTATGCCTCCAAGGACTGATTTCGAAACTAAAATCAATATGTCATTGGCTATGGTGATTGCTGGGGTGTACAAGCTTCAGAATTGTGCTAGTAGCAGCTACAAAACTGCTACTTCACTTCAAACCCCCATGTTAAAAGTGGTTAGTATTTTCCTTTAAGTCGTTGATCACAAAGTCATTAATCGTTTAATCGATATTCATTAATCGTTTAAAGGGACTATCCCACCTTCTAAAATGTTGTTAAAACCAGTTAAATTGTGCCCGACTTTACAGATTGGATGACCAGGAACACGGTTCTGGCATTTATTTTTCATAAAACATCTTAGGCTTCCCATATTCCAAACACAAACTTTCAAATATGTGACGTCACAGCCCAAAATTACCTCCTTCCCCAGGCCACATTACTGTCATAAAGCTGATTCTTTTTAATCTGTAGGCACCACAACAAAGTTCAGACCAAGTTTTAAGCGATTTTTCAACGAACAAACCCATTTAAATCAGAATGACTAAACGAGGTGACGTCACACTTACGGTCGCTCCATGTTGAAGATAGGGCCTTGCACAAGGCCCATTTTCAAATGAAGGGAACGAATTTCTTCAACACCAAGAGGCCGCGGGGGTTGCAACCTAGATATATAGTGGTTTCTGAACCTCGCCGCAAACTTGGCTATCTCAACTCGAACCCCATGTTAAAGGTGGGATAGTCCCTTTAATTGCTATTTATTAATCGTTAATCGTGCATCTACACGTATAAACGTGATTAAACAAACTAAAATAAAAAGGACCTTTCATTAAAATCGCCTCCTCAAAGGCTCGCAAGATACTTCAGAACCATGTAAGCACTTGAGCAAGTGATCCTGTAACGAAACATAAGCTTATGTGTTTAATCTAATATATGATTGATGAAATGATCAACGAATTAGCTATTACCGCATGCAACCAGTGTAACGAAGCCTTTTGCCTGCATCCTAATTCGCGTCTTATAATATTTCATCAAAACCAGTAAAATCACGTATTTATACTTAAACAGGAGATACGACTGGCAGACCTATGTGTAAGTACAGTTCTCAGCAGACTGCGTGGTAGGTATTCTTTTTTCGACAAAACCAGTAATAACTCAAAGACTATGTTGTCAGTCGGTCGGAACTCACTGAAAATAGAGGCGCCATGCTCTACTCCTTCGATTGGGTATATCACTAAACAAAGTATATGCCTTGTGTGGCAACAAAATGCAAAAGTTTGTTTTGGGGGCAAATATAAACTTTTGGGTTTTGTTGCCAAACTGGGTGGAAAATGAATGCGATGATAATGCCAATCTAAGGTGCGGAGTCTCGCGCATCATGCTGTTATGATTTCCGAGCGACCGATAGCATAGTATCCGCGTTATTCTCGGTTTTGTCGAAGAAAGAATACCTACCACGCAGTTTGCAGAGGGCTGTACATACATACATTCATACACATTGCATCTATACTGATTAGCTACGTCAGTTCTTGCAATATAAGGCAGCCTTTCAGTTACATGAATGTAGTTGAGAGCAGTGAACGGAATCAGTGAATCACGATATATTGTCGGGGTAGCTAGTTCGACTTACACTTGCTGAACGGAACCGATGAAAAAGCCGACCAGACAACGGAGAATAGTGATCCAAATGAATGTCGGAGCAAATGACGATAAAAATCCAAAATAGGCGAGAAAGAAGCCAGATACAAGCATAGTCTGAAAAGTGAACAAAAAAGTCAGTATTGTAATTAGATAAAAGACGCATGAAAATAGCCGGCTGGAATCAGTGATAACATTTTGAGAATGCTCAGAAACAAGCAAGACCCATATAATATATTCCCATGAGCGACTTAAGAGAGATCACATTGTTTAACCCTCGTCCGTATTAGTGTTTTGCCAGCCGCGAACGTATAGGGGGTCTGTTGGACCCCCCCCCCCCCCTTCCTTGCCGTTTTGTCCCTGATCGAGCTAGTGCTTCGCGGAAAAAAACGAGCGTATTGATCAACAGGACGGTCGAGCTACACGTACTATGCGTGATCGACTGATCGTCCAGGAAATTACGCGCGTGATCTGCGAGTTTGCAGGTTTTGCAGAAAATCGGTACGCAGATGAAGTTCAGTGGATAGGAAATACACAGGGTCGGCTACAATGGGGTCACGCAGATTCAGTCAAGGAAATCCCGGACGTTCAGTACAGGAAATGCCGGATAGTCAGGACGGTCAGGATGTTCCGTACCGATATAAAGTTCAGACCTACACACAGAAAAATATTGACACCGTTAGCGGTGTAATTGCACAGTACATATCTGAGCACTTGAGGAAAGTTAATTTAGTCCTTTCCCCGCTTAGATTACTCGCGCTTCTAAATGAACACCAGGAAGAAGGTAATAGAACACTGTTAGGAGGGTTGGGTGTTTTACTACATGTAGCAAAACACCCAACCCTCCTAACAGTGTTCTATTACCTTCTTCCTGGTGTTCATTTAGAAGCGCGAGTAATTTAAGCGGGGAAGGGACTAAATTAACTTTCCTCAAGTGCTCAGATATGTACTGTGCAATTACACCGCTAACGGTGTTAATATTTTTCTGTGTGTACGAACTTTTTTTTGTAGAATCTGCGAGATTGCGTGATATGAGACAGTTGTTGGCGCACTTGGTGGCGTACCGTATGAATCCAAGTGACGTTATTATTGTTTCTTTAATTTTCATGTGTTATTAATGTTTTATTGAAAAAATAAACTATTTATCGATTAAATAGTATAGAAGATAGCAAACTTAAGCGTTTGTTGCGAAACCATTTAATAGTTGTTATTATCACGTCAGCGTTCAATAATTCACGGAAATTCTGAAAAATCGCAGAAACCGATGCCAAGGGAGTCTCGCAATCACAGATCTGCAGATCACGCACGTAATTTCCTGGACGGTCACGCAAAGTGTAGCTCGGCCTTAAGAGATCCTGGGCGCGGGAGCCAGGGTGCTTGTGAGGGCTGAACAGTGAGCTGCTTCGACCTTTCGGCCGGGAGACTCAGGATGTATTCAAGCCCCTACCCCTGCTCGAGACATCTTAAGCTGCCAACACCCAAATCTACCAACTCTTCTCGGAATGAAAACCAGTTGATGAGTACGGAGTGAAACTCATCTGGCGAACCGGGCCGGCGTCATAATGCGTGGGTAGACTGTGCCGCTTAACACTCAAGTCAAGCGGCACAGTCTACCAATACCAGGCGGTGGCTGCCAATGCTGAGGCATAGATAAACCTGGGTAAACCGATGGACTGGAGTTCCCATCGATCAGTCTATAAGCCCACTATACATATGTGCCGTCTGCGACAGTCCCGTTGCGTGTGATGCTGCCTCCCTGCCAGCTGTGGGTGCGTACAATGCGTGTCTCCCTGCCGGGCGCCGGCTATGTGTGACAGGCCCGATGCGTACAATGCGTGCCTTCCTTCTGGCTGTGATAGCCCCGGTGCGTATAACGCGTGGCCCTCTGCCATCTGTGAGACCCCCGGTGCTGTCGGCGCGCGCCTCCACTGACCGGTTTCCGTCCGTGTCTGTCGGCGAAACGGCCCCAGTACAGCTGGCCGCACGTCATACCGACAAACACTGCCGTGGAGACGGTGGCCTGTCGCCAGGGCGAGATGCGCCAGTCGCAGAGCAGCGCCGGCGACAGCAGCGACAGCAGCATCACCTCCATACTCTCCGAGAGCCAGCTGAGGCCGAGCAGCACGCCCAGCTGCAGCTGCAGCCGGCCGAACCCGACCCAGTCGATGGCCTCGTCCAGAGAGTACGTCACTGCGGAACGGACACGGAGAACGTGGGGCACGCGGTCAGACGAGGAGCATCAGCAATCGGTGACATAACGTGGAACATCAACAAATAGCTGGCATGCAAAAAAAGTATAGGGTACCTATGTTGTCAGAGCGTTGATGAGATGTGATAAGGTAAAAACTTGACAAGTTTGTCAAATCAAATTTCCTTATACGATTTGCTTGTTTGGCATTAGTTTAACGAGCTCCCCACGCTTACTTCATGTAGGCATACTGGACTTGTTATAACAACTCGTTTTTGGTTATTGATCAAACCGTCGTCAACAACAACAACACTTTTATTTACTATTAGGTATCAGCAAAGAGCCTTTGGGTGAAGAACTAGCGAGCGCAATAGTGAGCCGTGTAAGTAGGCCGCGTGCAAACGTACAAAATGAGAACTTAAGCTGACTTATTCGGGCGACCCATGTTGTAGGTTCCTAACATTGGACGTAAGTACATACATATTTCAGCGCATTTCCCCAACGGTGAACCAAATTCAAATGCAATCAGCCCAGTGGTTCTTAGATGTAGAGGCGGCACCCGCGCGTGCGCACCGCACACGTCCAGTAGCACCAGCAGCACCCAAACCTCGATCTTAGTCGAATGTTTCGCTTTGCTCCGTCTAATGCGACGAATTGTAACGATCGACAATAAGAGTAAGACAGTGCTCTGCCATTAATAATCATGACTCAAAACAGTTCAGAAAGTTTAAACTTACCGGCTTTTGATGGCTCCGCGATCGTAGTGCTGGTCATCTCCGTTCCTCTGTCTCCATTCATAGCTTGGTATTTGCTCTCCCCCACCGGCATAGCGTTCTGCGGCAAAAGACGCCCCTGAAAGCGGCACTCAGAACTTCTATATGTACTATAAGCGGTGATATGTACTTCTCACTGAGCCCCGAGCAGTGTTATGCCTCGTGAACTATTTTTCGTAGTGGCCGTTCTCATACCGGTCGTGCTCACAGCAGTCGTTTTCGTGCCGTCGGTCGTCGTAACGTCTGCTGTCTCCAGCGTCAACTCTAGCAACGTTCACTGTCACCGTGGCTGGCCGGGCGCCGTCGCTGAACCCAGGTCAGCCGGGCGCCGTCGCTGACACTCAGGTCAGCCAGTGTCACCGGCGATGGCGTGCCGACTTCGCTCAATCACTGAGACCTTTGCCGGTCCTGGCCTGCACCCAGCCCCCCGCGGCATATGGCGCACAAAGCACATATTGCGGGCCAGATGTGTATCGCCTGATAGATCCTTTACGGGCCGCCAGCTGTGTCAGCTCACAGCTGAGCAGCGGCCGACCTTCCCTGAAGTGCCGAGTAGTCAAAAACTCGGCGTGAAGACACTAACTGCAGCCACCTGCATCGGGAGTGCAATGGAAACCTCCAATTGTTAGCGCATACGTACCGGGCATTTATTAAGAAGTGGCAGTGTGAAAGTCCCCTCCATTCACTATCGGCGGGCGCGGCAAATGAATTAATGTCACCGACCGATGAAATGCTTAGACAATAAGGGGCCTGTCGCCTTTATTGTCTACCTGTATACCCTTTAGAAAAGCGTGAAAAACGTATGCGTTTTTATTTGGCAAGGCGTAACAATAAAGCTCAGCACGATGTAGTACCGACGGCTGGGTCAGCGCAGGCCCCAGCGTTTTCGCGGCTGTGTGACCGGCTGCAGGGTCTGACGGCTCTGTGGGCCGGCCGATCCGGGCGTCCGACCCGGCGCCGAGCCGTCCGCCTCCAGAATCTGCTCGAGCAGCGCCGAGTTGGGCATCTCGGCGTCCCCGAGTCGGACCAGCTCCGTGGCGCGACTCACTTCCGGCGGCTCGTCCAGCGAGGCTGCCCGAGCAGTACAACACAACGGTATGAAATGCAGATCGACGAAAGAAGCGCAACATAAATCGATATAGGAGTCTGGATAGGTATCCAACTTAGCTTAGAGTGGAAAATACTTTTAATAGTAAACCAATCAAATAAATAAACCATATTAAAAACATACATACGAGTACACAAAGCCTTTGTCCACAGAACCTTGAGCACTGGGTACGTCGTAAAATGGGTACAAATAATCACTTTAACCGTCCAAAACTCTTGAACTAAACTAATCATAAACTTGTCATGCCTCATTAAAATCTCAGCTATATTCGTAAATCCGTCGTCTCGACTACAGACACAGCGTCTACTAGCCGCAGAGTAGAGTTGTGACACGCACCTCACCTGCGTGCCCGCCGGGCGCCGAGTGACGCCTCTGTCCCCCGGACGAGTGACGTGCCGGCGCGCGGATCGTGGTCCGACTGCGACCCTCGCCCAGCGTCATCGACAGGTCGTAGCTGCGTAGCCTCGATACGATCTCGCACGACTTGGACTGCACCTTGCACGTCTCCAGACAAAACTGCAGCAGGTTGTTGCTCAGCTGGTAGAAGAGCTTCTCCATGAACGGAATGCGGCTGCCGATAGATGAGTAGTCATGATTGGTGGGATAAAGACATGGAAAGCGAGACCCCATTTTAAAACGAATATCACATTGCGATAATAGACAAAGTTTATCTGCAGCTATCTTGAGTTCAGACACTCCTGCCAACGTTATTTCATCGCTGCTTTACTATAAAATCACAAATAAAAGACGAAATCACGCCGTTATCAGCTCTTTGCAAGTAGCGTAAATCCATAACAATAAGTGATTCCTATGAAAAGAAGCTCCATCAATCGGAAATTTCGACGATACCGTCCTTTTAGTAGACATGGCTGCTGCATGTGATCACTACCTCAGCCCCCGCCGGTGGTGACCGTCATTTGACTCGCCTGGCGATGATGGAGGGCAGGCCCTCGCCCAGGAACGAGACCAGCTGCTCGTAGCGCTGTCCGATCCGGTCCCGGTCCGACTCGGCGAACGTGATGTCGTGGCCGGCCGCCCGGCGACGTCGCAGCTCCTCCAGCGACGCGCACGCCTGACCGAGAACGGGATATCAATCACCGCTGATTAATATCGAAACAATTCATTACATTTTGCTAATGATTTTCGAGAGGTTTATTTATATCACCTCCCATGCGGTTGGTGAAAGTGTTCTTTAATATCAAATAAATAAATACTCCGATCTATTTCCGATTAATTTCCTAATACACACTATCTCCGATTAATAACAAAGGTTGAGTGGTAATAAGATATGTCCCCGCATTGAAGAACATAAAAAATAGTGTAGTCTGTAAATTTCTCGCGTAATCGCGTTTCGCATAACATATTTCCGGAAAGTACGATGCATTTTTTTGTAAAGCCCCAGTGCCTATGCCTGACAACATGGGAGCTATCGTATGCAGAGATTAAACACACATATGTATCAGCTGTAAAAAGCATAGCAAGACTCTAAATACGACAACGGCACAAACGTTATACGTATACATACTAAATTACCTGAGAGTATTGGCGGCGCACCTCTTGGTACTCTTCAATCTTGTCTTCGGCTCCTTCAAATTGTCCCTCGTATTCCCTGATGGGATCCAGCAGTTTTCGCATAGACTGCTCGTAGCGGTCCCAGAGCTCCTCCTGGTCCTGGCGTCCAGAGCCAGCAGACAGGTTATTTCAATAGAAAACGACAATTCTAATGAGAAGTGTTTGTCTATTTCAAACAACTTACGATTATCACAACAGCGCACAGCTGAACGCACGGCTAAATCGGTGTGTCAAACATAATACTTTGGCAAACAGATAGCCCATGAAACTCAATGCCATTCAAACTGCGCCCCCACCTGCAGTGTGATGTAATATTTCTCCGCGCCAGGCCAGTCGTCCTCCCAGTAGTCACCCATCACGTCGTGGAGGTTTCGCATGGCCTTCTCAGTCATGTCGATGCAGTCGGAGAATCGGTAGATTGCTTTGATGAGGTGGTCAGACTGGACAATCTGCTCCTTCAGAGCCTTTTGGTACACTCCGAGCTGGCGCTCCTGGAACTCCTGTAATTACCCGAGTACGAGCAGTGTGAAATGTGCATCCAACACGTTCTAGACATGTTTCACTCAATTCGATAGCGGTTTATTACACTTAAATTGTACCGAGTAGATTAGAAATATTAAAATTGCTGGCAGACCTTACCGGATCGTCTCGCCGCTCCTTGCTGGACGTTTTGTGCGTTGTCCGTCCGTCCCCTCGGGACCAGTGGTCGCGGTCCCGGCTCTTCTCCCCACGAGTCTCGTTGTCTGGCTCCTGCGGAGACGGATATTGCTGGGACATAATTCCAGTAACACTTCCAACAGCATCGTCATGAAAAGCATTAACCCGCGCCCCGCGGGGGGGGGGCAGAATCTGCCCCCCTCCCGTTTTTCGCCAATAACTTCTAAACGCGTTAAGCCAGCGACGTCAAACTTTCAGTACCTTATCATACATCAATTTGACACGTTCCCTGAAAATTTGAGCAAAATCTGTCGGAAAATTTTGGAGAAATTGACGTTTTAGTGACGTCATGTTCGCCATTTTCGCCTCAAAAACGGCAAAATTGCAAACGCCGCTAACATCTTCATTTTTGAACGAATTAAGACGTAACAAAAAGGTTATACGTGATTCTACTTTGTCTATCAAATGGCTATCTCGGTTTTTTGAAAATTTTGGATTTTGGCCCAATTTCTTTTTAAAAAAACTGACGTTTTTGGAAAAATAATTATAAAATCCAAAATTTTGAGTGTATTGAAAAAACCGGAATATATGTCAGAGAAGTGGTCTATGTGCACCTACATACCAATTTTTAGAAGAATCGGTTCAAAAATGTAGGAGTTATTCAAAATTTTATGACGTCACGACAAACAAAATTTTTGAAAAATGACTTTTTTGGAAGTTCTAGACCTCGTACGGAAACAAAAATAGCACCATTCGATTCGCCGTGAAAAACTGCATCAGATAGACACCTTTTTAGGCCTTAACAACCAACTTCAAAATTTGACCTCACTTGACCTGACCTTGACCTGACCTCGACCTGAAATTCATCCAGAGGTGGTCCATATCACTTATTGAGTGTGCCTATTGAATTCTTTGAGTAAAATGACCCATAAAACATGTTTCGCACATGCCCTTTTCTATATTTTGTTTTTGGTGACCTGACCTGACCTGACCTGACCTTGACCTTGACCTTTGAATGACAGTGTATGCAACGAATATTGTCTTGGCAGTCTAAGAACACGTTTTGGGCAATCAGTCTCAGCCCATTCTTCGGCAACTACGGTGCAAGTCCGATACTGTAGAAACTTGCATTTTGTACCCTTGACCTGACCTTGACCTGACCTCTGACCTACTTAAGCAAAACAATTTGGGCTCTTAAGATCCGCCTTGTTGAGAGCTTTCGATTGCCGTTTTCCCCGTCTTTCTACGACCATCGGTTCGGAAGTTAGACAGGGGGGGCAGAATCTGCCCCCCCCCCCCCAGCAGGGCGCGTATGGCTGAATAGCCCAGCGGGGCGCGGGTTAAGCTGTTCTGTTCGCATGGTTGTAGCAAGTTTATATGAACGTATATAACTAAAATATTGTGATGCTGTGTGTAACAGCGCTGCCGGCCACAAACTGTACCTAACTACAAATTGCAGGTGAGGAAATGGGAAAAGACTCGGAAGATGAGACGGACAAAGTGCATTATATCACTGCTCTTATGCGCAAAAATTATTCATTAGACTTCCTCGGAGAGCTATTCGGGGATCCTGAACTCGAATAAAGTTGGACGACTGGCCGCTCTGAGTAGCCCACCTGTCGACTGAATTGTCGGGACCGACTGGGGCTGGTCTGTCGGATTTCCCGCTCGGAAGAGTGAGGCCTCGCCGTCAGCTGTGACCGGCGGCCCGTCTCCGGGCTGGGCGGCGCCGTACGAGAGCCCCTGCAGCACAATACCGGCGGGGTCTTGGTCAGGCACTGAATGCAACCAGTTATCATTAGCTGGAGATGCCACAACGCGGCAGCAAACTCGACGATGATCATACATAAATGATTCAATAAAACACGCAAAAAATGTAAAAGGGACATAAATTTACATGGCAATAATTCAAGTGATCGGTCATTACTTAGGCAATCGTTTATCATACAAGGTAGAACTTACCTTCGGGAGGTTCCGGCTGCTCCCTTGGAATCATTCCGTGTTTTCTGACGACGTGGACTGGGCTCCCACTCGCTTGGCCCAGGAATATCCTTATCTCGGCTGCTTCTGCGACCGTTTTCCGCTCTTTGAGATCTGTGAGAACTGCGACGATCCATGGCTAAGAGCAGACTACGTACAGCCAAATCGTTTGGTGTCAAAGGTCTTTAGCCGAACACCGTCATTAATGAAACGTTTTCTTAGACGTGACTTGGTCAGCGCATCACCAATGAGCAAAAATGATTTTAAATATTTTTGCTCCCTAAACTTCCATTAGGTCTCATAAGTCTCTATCTGGAGTTGCCATTATACCACAACAGTGATTGTCAAAGCTATGTTAATCTTCGTGGTCTGATCATGATCAAACCAAGCCATTCGAATGTCAATTGGCTCACTTGAAATACTAAGATAGGATACAATTGCAATAGCCAAAAAGCTGCAGCAAGCACGACAACCACTAGAGATTGCAACTTTATTCACTGCTCCCTGTCAATGGTTTACTGCCGTCTTTTTATCAGAAGCAAGACCCAAGATTACTAGAACATACATGGCAAGACCCTAGAACGCTAGGATAACAGAGGGTGTTGATCAAACAAGCTGCCCTCGTGCCATTTTATGTTAGGGTTCTCTTTACAAAAGTACGGCTCTAGCGAGATTAAGCGGTAGGTTTTGCACTTTTACATTTCCGGTTATATCTCAGAAACTAATCGATCTACGATGAAGCCATTTTACACGATCATGGCCGGCTTGAGAACCAACAAGTCGATCGCATCTTCAACACTTAAAACCTTAACCTTCCAGGCGGTGGGGGGGGGGCATTTTTTTGCCCCCCCCCCTTTAGTTTTTTCGATATATCTCGAGAACTGCTGCGCCGATCGTCACCAAACTTTCAGTCCTCTCCCGGGAGCAGCTAGCGCACATGGTGATTAATTTTTTTTCGAAAAGCTATGATAGGTTGGCCGCTAATGACGTCAGAGTGACGTCATTTTTGCCATTTTCGACCCAAAAAAAGGTTTCGCGGGAAGAGCTGTCAGGCCTACAGCTTTAGAGATACAGAAAATGTTCGGACATAAAAGGTGTGGAATCAAGAGGGCTACAAAACTGTTATTTCGGTTTTTCAATATTTTTTATTTTGACCCCCAAAAAATAAGAAAAAGATTTTTTGAAAATAATAGTCGAAAAATCCAAAAAGTTTTTTGAATTTCGAAAAAACGGGATATTTCTGATAGTCCCTACAGCCTTCTATCTACATACCAAAATTTGAGATCAATACCTCTTTTTTGGCCAAGTTATAGCGAAAAAACTGTTCAAAATTGATGACGTCAAATTTTCAAACTCAATTTTTAGCAATTCTAGACCTCGTAGCGCAAAACAAAGACCACCATTAAACTCCCCGTGACGAGCTGCATCGAATCGATACCCATTTTATGCAAAAATATCAACTTTGAAATTTGACCTTTTTTGACCTGACCTTGACCTGACCTCCACCAGAAACTGACCTAAACCGTACCTGATGGTCTTATAACCAATACCATTGAGTTGGAAATGAAAAACTGGCCATAAAACATGCATCGCACAACCTTAGTAAAGTTGGGTTCATGTGGTGACCCTTGGTGACCTTTGGTGACCTGACCTGTGACCTGACCTGGTATGACCAGTGACCTCTAATAGCAACATATGTACTAGACAACTGACGCCTTATCGCTGATTTTCGATAAAATGTGTTTTACTCGGTGTTATAGCGCTTTCCCTAGAAGTCCCGTGAACGGTGAAACATTTTATCTTTGACCTGACCTGTGACGTCATCGGTGACCCCGAGGTCAATGAAATTTGGTTTCCTTCGACAAATTTGACAGGCCTTTCGAACGCCGTTTGAATTTTGCGGATCCGTCCAGTAGTTTCGGAGTTACGGGGGGGCAAAAAAATGCCCCCCCCCCCACCCCACCGCGCGGAAGGTGGCTGGTAGGCCCACCGCCTGCCGGGTTAAGACGACGAAGATATAGCCTGAAGTACACTAAATTTTCTAGGTGCAAAACCTACCGCTAAAACCTGCGAGACCTGTACCTATAATTTCGTTATAAAGGGCAAGTTTTACCAAAGACTTTGAGAAAATACACCGATGGTTTCAGTGGAGAAGTAACCAGCTACCTACGTTTTCGTATACGAATTCCGAAGCGTATTTAAAAAATCTTTCCCGGCTGCTTGAGGCTATAATTCGGACCGAGACGGAGGGCTAGCCTACGGCAGTGGTAGTGGGGTATTACTAATGGTTTTGCTCTATCTTGATTAGTTCAAAAGTTATTCGCAAAAAAAAAACTCTGTTGGCTTCTAACGCCTTTAGACTATTTTGACAATTTTGACCCCTGTGACGTCGTTTCTTATCTGACTTGAAAATGATCTCCCTAGAACTTTTAGAACTTGTCTGTTTGTAACTATTCCATGTCATCCACCGCTTGTCACTAGCTTGTTTCGTTTTCGAGATCTTAACCCGCGCGCCCACTGGGGTCTGCGTATAACGCGCCCTACTAGGGGGGGGGGGGCTATCCATTGCCCCGCTCCTAGCTCCGAAACTACTGGGCCGATCGTCAAAGTTCAAACGGCCGGTCGATCCAGGGGACGGGGACATTTGGAATAAGTTTCATCATGCAGCACCTGAAATCGATGATTTTTTTACAAAAGAAAAGCCGAACACTTTTATTAGCACTTACCCTCGCCGGCCGAGGGGGGAGGGGTGCGGGTGTCGCCCCCCCCCCCATAGGTTTTTTGCGATAGCTCCGAAAACGCCGGCGATAGAGAGCTGAAACTGGGCATACCTGACCTTTGATCCAAGCCGCATTTTGCGACACCAACTGCATCTTCGGGTCAGGTCAGGTCACTGACCTATGACGTCATAAGTGAGCCTCTGCACGGTCTTCAAATGTCGCAACTTCTCGGCGCCCTCAGTGCCAAAGAAGCACTGAGGAGCACTGAGCAATGACGTTTTAGTGACGTCAGGTCACGTTGTTTTCCCTTCAAAAACTTCAAATGCCTCTATTTATAACATCTTCAGTTTTTGGAATCAATGCTTAACAAAAAAATCAAACGTGATTCTCCTTTGTCTTTTGAATGGCTATTTCGGTTTTTGAAAATTGTGAGGCTAAGCATTTTTCGAAAAAAAGTTTTTTTTTGGAACTTTTTATGAAGTCTTTAATTTTGAATTTATCGAAAACCCGGGTTATTAGTTACAAAAGTACCTAGTGTTTGTGCACATACCTACATTCCAATTTTTAGAAGAATCGAATCACAGTTGCAAACGTTTTTCAAATTTTAATGACGCTACGACGCATCCAATTAAAAAAAAATTGAAGTTTTAGACCTCAGCCCACCCCGATATCACGTCATCATAGGGTTAATATATGACCATTTTAGCGGTTCTATGTTGTACAAAACAAAGTGGTATCAACTTCTTTGGTTGACACGAGAGTCTTTTAACCTTCGCCGGCACAGACCATTTTGCGTGCTTCGACGGCACGGCGTTGGTGTAACCCCCCCCCCCTTGCGTTTGGGCCCTGATCGAGCTAGAGCTTCGCGAAAAAAAACGAGCGTGTTGCCCGTGACGAAAGGAAGCCGATGATACCCAAGTTTAATGACCCAAAAGTCGGGAAATCGGGAGCTGTTAGAAGTTAGAACATCGTAAAGTGTGGCTACTATGGGATTTTCGGGGTGCTGATCACGAATATCATGTAAGCTTTGATCACAGGTGATGTCTTCATGCATTTAGGCCAGATCGGGTCAGGTCAGGTCAGGTCAAATAGTAGGGGTCCTGCCGGGTAATCGTAACGTGTCAACTGCTTCTGACAGCTTCGTTACATGTTCCGAAAGCAGAAAAACTACTTCGTAAATGTTCAAATGGTTGCTAAATCCGAATTCACTCCAAAACCTAGCCTAGAAACATGTAAAACTCGAAAACTGAACCGAGGTCATCAAAGGTCAATGACCTGACCTAACCTTCAGGTGACCTTGACACCCATTCTAATGCAATGGGACCAACGTCATATCACATGTTTGAACGCTTGAAATTATGAAAAGACTGCAAACGCGTGGCTAATGCGGGCCGACATACGCGGCCAAACATGGTCTCGAGAAATAGGTCACAGGTCAAAGGTCATTTGGGTCAGGGTCATGCAATTTTAAGGGTAGGTGTAAAATTTATTAACTCGCTCGAGTACTGAAAGTCTCGTTGCGATCGGCCCCTTTTTACAACAAACAAACAGATAAATGACGGAAAGGCGCCGGGGTTATCGGAGGTCACTGAGATGATCTCGAAATTGTTTCAATTTCCTTTTATCAGAAACAAATGTAGGGAATAGGGATCATGCCTTCACTTATCTGACTTGATGGTACCTTGGGCACTTTTTTCTTTTTACCCTTCTGAAAACTTCTCCAGCCTGTTTCGGAAAGCCATGTCCGTCGTTCTTGACCCCCCGTCCGCAGTAAAAGGCTCATATTTCTTTACTGAAACGCTCTTTTTCTACAATGGACCGGGCCGGGAACGGAATACCTAGGTGATAATTTTCGAGAAGAGTAATTAAGAGTTTCGCACCGGTATAAGCAAGCTATCCAGTTCAGACGGATCAGTAACGAATCGACTGTAAAATTATAAGCATGCATGCATGGATTGTAACAAAGTACGACACTTAAGAATGAACAAGACAAACATGCCTCGTTTCTTAAAACCCGCGCCTCGCTGGGGGGGGGGCAGAATCTGCCCCCCCCCTCCCGTTTTTCGCCAATAACTTCTAAACGCGTTACGCCAGCGACGTCAAACTTTCAGTACCTTATCATACATCAATTTGACACGTTCCCTGAAAATTTGAGCGAAATACGTCGGATTTTTTTTTTAGAAATTGACGTTTTAGTGACGTCATGTTCGCCATTTTTGCCTCAAAAACGGCAACATTTCAAACGCCGCTAACATCTTCATTTTGGAAGCAATCAAGACGTAACAAAAAGGTTATACGTGAATCTACTTTGTCTATCAAATGGTTATCTCGGTTTTTTGAAAATTTAGAATTTTGGCCCATTTTTTTCTAAAATAAACTGACTTTTTTTGGAAAATAATTATAAAACCCAAAATTTTGAGTGTATCGAAAAAACCGGAAAAACCGGAATACATGTCAGAGAAGTGGTCTATGTGCACCTACATACCAATTTTTAGAAGAATCGGCTCAAAAATGTGGGAGTTATTCAAATTTTATGACGTCACGACACACAAAAAATTTGAAAAATGATTTTTTTTGGAAGTTCTAGACCTCGTACGGAAGCAAAAATAGCACCATTCGATTTGCCGTGAAAAACTGCATCAGATAGACACCTTTTTAGGCCTTAACAACAAACTTCAAAATTTGACCTCACTTGACCTGACCTTGACCTGACCTCGACCTGAAATTCATCCATAGGTGGTCCATATCACTTATTGAGTGTGCCTATTGAATTCTATGAGTAAAATGACCCATAAAACATGTGTCGCACATGCTCTTTTCTATATTTTGTTTTTGGCGACCT